ATATATATATATATCAGAACTATTGGTGGATCCCATAACAATGTCTGAGGCATTAAAATTATCAATGAAATATAAAATACGTGACAACACAATGACACAAAGATATATATATATATATATCTTACATAGTTAACGTTTTTAGTATTTAGGTTTCTAGATTTTAAAATTTATATTAAAATAAAATTATATATTAATTTTTTATAATTATGAAAGTGAAACATTTAATTTATCTTAACATCATCGGTAAAACAACATGTGACTGCACGAGCATGAATAATACAAAAATATGAGTAAAAAGATAATTTTAACAATAATAGTGGATGGCGATACTATGAGTGATTATTGTGGTGGTGATCGACAATAACGACGTGGTAGTTGACTTTGTCAATATTGGTAGTGGGAGAGGAAGATCAAGCAAGTGAGACATTTGTGTTATTAACGATGAGAAGGGAGAGGAAGAGGAGATAGACTGGTATGATGTTATTCACATGGTATATCTTTCGATGGTAAAATCGATGACATTACAGTTAATATGATTAAATATTTTATTTTCATAATTATAAGAATTTTAATATAAATGTTTTAAGTCTAAGGACCGAGACGTTAAAGAGGTCTGATTATAGAGGATAATATATAATTAGTCTATCATCATCGTTGAAATTTTGTTTTACATATCGTTTTCATATCATTTATGCATTTGTTGTATCTTCTATCGATAATGCCGACAGTATTAGGATAAATAAGATTAAATATTTTACTTTCGTAATTATAATTTTTTTTAATATATATAATTTTTTAGTGGATGGAAATAATAAAAAAAGTCTAACCTAATTATCCCATATCCAAAGCAAGAATTTTCCGTGCTCAACTTGGTTCACTGACAACCCAGGTTGATGAAGTGGAGGCCTTCTTTTGACTTGTCATGAGATCCAAAAAGAGCCAGGGAGGGGGATAAGGGGATCTTGAAAGATGGCCAGGGGAGAGGAACCTCAAACATCAACCTGGTTTTCCTTCTCCCAAAGAGAAAGAGAGAGAGAGAGAGAGAGAGAAAGAGAAAGCTCATGCCATCATCACCAGCCCACACCACTTGCATGGGATAAACAATAGTAGTTGAAGACTTGAACACGGAATGCAGTGTATCCACCCCAAGTCTCAACCTTCTTCTTTCTTGCTCTGATCCTCCCAGGGATAAATGAGAGCAGACCGCAACGCTTCCTTTTACCAAACCTCTCTCTCAGCATCACAGGCACTGCCGCCTCATCAAACTCATTCTGTCAATAATAATCCTTATCAACCTTCTCTTCTCACTCTTCCGTTCATCTCATAGTACAGGAGCGTCAGAGGAGGACACCTGCACCGATCTCATGTGCAGCTCTTCATTCTATGGCATGGATTTCAGGTAAAGACTTGATAGAGGAGGACTGATGCCTGTGCAGTGGTTTCCAAGGGTTGTGAGGAACAACTTGAGGTTTGGTCTCTGATCAAGTGGTTTTAAGTGAATTATTTCCTTGTTTATTTCAATCGAAACATACTGTTTCTTCATACAGAAAAGAAAACAAATCCAATGTCTCCATTAGAAAGGCTGAAGAAGAAGAAGAAGATGTAAACTGGAGTTGTTCATGACAAAGCCTCCATCACTTTCTGCAATCTTGTCCCACAACTCGAGTGGTCATCTTGGAATCAGCTTCTCTGGCTTTGAGAGCCTTCTTCGATCCCCCACTTCATCAAAACTTGATCTAAAGATGTGCCTAGCAATCATACACCAGCCTGTGACGTGTTGATCTGGATGCATCATGAAGCATTCGAGCTCAGAATCAAGCAGACAGACGGATGAGGATGGCAGGCGGAGGAGGATGGAGAGATCGGCGACTGGTTCAAGCACGGGCGGGTGGGTGCATCCACCACAGGAGCAGGAGACGAGAGGCTCCCCTTCCAACTATTTCAGCATGAAGTCGTTTCTTGTACTCATCTGCCTCACTCTATCTCTGTTGATACTTCCTCTCGTACTGCCTCCATTGCCACCACCACCTTCGGTGCTGCTGCTGCTTCCTATAGGCATGCTTGTTCTACTTTTGATCCTGGCTTTCATGCCCTCTGACACCGGAAACATTGCTTCTTCCTACCTGTAAATAAGATGAGGGAGTCCGCTGCATCTTTTTCTTCTTTAGATCGACAGAATTGATCTAATGGCTTCGACTATATCTAATTTTCTCTTTCGGCTTCTAACATGTCGTCATCAGTGCATCAAAAATATAGGTCTTCTTATCTCATCTATGAGCTTAGGCATATATATATATATGTATATATATATATATATGTATATATATATGTATATATACATACATATATATTTATATATACATATATATATAAGTGTTATGGTATTGTCAAAACAAACTCATCATTTCACTTGTGACATGACATGCGACACAAAGCGTCAACTATATTAGTAATTTACAATTCATCGTAAAGATGACGGTACTCATAGTGTTCTCTGATAATAGGATGGTATTGTTTCATATGTTGCTTGTTGCTTGCTTGCTCGTCGTACTGTCAGTTTCATATGTTGCTTGTTGCTTGCTTGCTCGTCGTACTGTCACACATAAAATTGATTCATCATGGAGTTACTCAAATGGCATAATGTTCGTCGTGTTCTCAAATAGCAGGATGGCACTGTTCCATATGTCGCTTGTTGCTCGTTCGCTCATCGTACTGTCACCTAAAATTGATCCGTTTTTATTCATTTGGAGGTTATTTTTATCATGTTGGGTTTAGGTCGATCTTTGTGTCCCATCGACAGCTTAAACTTTTAGATGCAACCGTAGCGATAAAAAAAATATAAGAGGAGTGTTAAGAATATAAATCAAAAGATTATGAAGAACTTCAGTTTTTAGAAACAAGTATAGTGATAAAAAAAAAAATCCAAGATTGGAAAAAAGCATCTTATCGTCATGTTTGATTGTGTTCTTCGGATGGTCGACATTAGTGATTACTACATCAGGAATTAACATGTTGCTCTCATTTAATTTGTGTCGTAAGGCTGGCAGATGGATGTGGAAAGAGAAAGAGAGAGAGAGAGAGAGGCTGATGTTAACCTTTTGAGACAACACATGTATACATGCAAAACGAGCACCGCGTTGGAGACATCATGTCTACCTTGATTTGCTCGTGGTAAGATTGTGATGTTCACTGTGATCTTCTTTTGTGCACACACTTAAGATGGCTGATGATGATTATTATTATTATTATTATTATTATTATTATTATTATTATTATTCTATTATGATATTATTTTTTAAAATTAACATATTAAAAAATATATTAGTTTTGTAGTTTACCAACAACTTCTTGACCTTCGGACAGCCATCAGTCCTTATACATTATTTTACAATATTACAAAATATTATTCTTAACCATCACTGATTGATTGAATCAATATAATGTCAATACAAAATCATAATAAATAAATTGAAACCGATATATAGTCAGATCAGCATATATCAATCATTATAATGTGAATATCCAAATCATTCTCATCATCAGTTAGACATTGAATCCTAAAACTGTGGTCATGCTTAGCTCATAGTAATTTATTCTAAATCTTTCATGTTTCTTTTTAACTTCAAAATCTCATGTAGAGAAGGGACAAAAATTTATACAGATTTAGTGTAACATGTATCTGAACATGAGCACATTTAGTATACTCAAATAACTATTTTGAAAAATTGACGTTCTTAGCTATCTGTCATTCTTAGCTTCAAAGTTCAATGCTAAATCCAAAAAACCAACATATGTGGCTAAGCATGGCTAAATCTTTTCATCAACTGGAGTCGTCAAACATGGCTAAACATGCATGTTCTATATGATATGACATGTGCCTGTCCGAGGGTGTATTCAAGGAACACGTCACCTGTCGACGTCAGCTTCCTCGGGCACTGCGGTCAAAGTGACTGACTTGTTGTTTGCTCGTTTCACTAGCACTTTCAGAGGCTTCCCAACCTGATCCTCCATGATGTCGATGATCTGTAGAAGAAACAGCAATCGTCGACAGTACATTCTGCTTTGGTAATGTCTTTATTTCTTTTCCACACGCAACAGATATTGGATATGGAAGACAAACATATTGAGACAAACAGTGTCTACAACACATTTAAATAAATCTAAAGTCTTAGGATTGAAAACAGATGCATGTGTATCTCTGGCAAAAACTATTTTAGTACCTTGACAGTCTGAAGTGCTGATTATTCCAAATAAAAAAAAGACGAAGCGACAAATCCTAAACGAAGTTTCTTGGGTGATCGGTTTGCAATGCGGTTAGAAAGAAATAAATCTAGTTACGCTAACCAGCAATATGAATCATAAATGCCATCATGAATGGCAGCAATTAGGCACAAGGAACTGAGAGTATGTCTGAAGCAGAAACAGGATATGTTCCATTGAAGAAGATAATGATCGATGATGGCCAAATCTTCAAACTGGCACGAATTGCATCTAAGGTATAAAAATTATAGTTTTGAGATTCTAACCTAACTTACTTTTGAGTGTCATCTTTGATGACCCAATTTTGATAATAATGTAATGCAATAGTTGGGCAAGCTAATGCAATTTCAAAATTGCATCAGTTTCCCCCATGTGTTTGCCAAGAAATTTTGACTTGCTTGGGGAAAAGCTTCTCCTGGTATCCATACTTGCATGATGTTTGACTATTTGAATGTCAATCATGAATATTGTGTTTCATAAATGAATGGTAAGAACAATTTACAAGGAAAATAAATCCAATCATCAACGTAATAATTTTCTGACAGATTGAAGCACAAGACCTAAAGTTTTGTACGTAGTCCAGTTCTGAATAGGATGAGACCTAATTGCTTTCATACATGATTCAAGCATGCAGATTGCTGTGACTTGGTTTCTAGACAATTTGAGTGGAAGTACCTCTTTAATGCCTCCAACTGGTTTACCATCAAACTCAACGACTACATCACCTGGTCGAAATCCTGCACGGTCAGCAGGGGATCCTGGAGTTACCTGGTAGGCATGTCAATTTATCATTTAGTAGGTTATCCTCAACATGATAATAAAAGATAAAAAACTGATTGATAGAATCAATGAACCAGCTAGCACAATCAACCAAGGTATGCAATATCGTATCGTACCGGTGTTTTAAGGTTGGCTCGGTACGGTATGGTACCATGTACCAAGCGGTACACCAGGGCGTACCGAGCGGTACATCAGGCGTACCGAACGGTTTTATATATTTCTTCCTCTTACTATAGCACTGTAGCACTGTAGCACGTTCTGTCTGGTAGCGGGCGGTCCGCGTACCGATATGCCGTCGGACCGATACGTACCGCCTGTACCGGACGATACTATTCGAAATTGCATACCATGCAATCAACATTGTCTTTTATTTTTATTAAATATCTTTGATAAACAAATCATTTGTGGAGAAGACCAATTTATTATGTCCATGTAGTGAATAAGAAAAATATGAAGCATAAATAGTTGACATGTATGACAAATAATGTACTTTCCAATGTCCTTGCAAGTTTACACTTCACCAGGTATGACAAGTTTGTAATTAAGAATAGATGAGTGGGCTCATGACAAAAAAAAATCTCTTTCAAAAGCAGCTTCCCGTCCCACATGTCCATGTCATTCATTAAGTCCAAACCCTTCATAGCATTTCGAACAATGGGTAAAGAAACATGATAGCAGAGGTTTTCACGTCATTACCACTCTAAGTTGAGGAAAGTGAGAACAAAGAAAAGTTTAAGGCACAGGAAAGATGGTGCCAAGGGCTAGATGCGGAGAAAGGGATGACCTGACATATTTGTCTGCAGGAAGCTCATTGTGCATAGGTTGACCTAATTAAAATTTTTCCTCCAGTCATTTATGGAAGCAAGGTTCCTTTCTGGTAAATCACCGATGATATTAGTTTCAAACTCCAATTTTTAGATCCAATTTATTTTCCATGTTCCCCTTATGCCAAAAAAAAAAAACTAACAAGCACTATAAAAATAACCTGATATGGAAAAGCATTTATAGTTTACTCATAGCATATTATCACTAGACAAAACTTACCACAGGCACTAGTACACCTTTCACTACATCTGGAAATGAAGCATCTTTCTCCTTAAATTGTGCAATTTTCATTTCATTAAGATCGAGCATCTTCAGTCCAAGCCATGGTCGGACTACTCTTCTGCACAAACATTTTTTACAAACAAACAAGATATTGTTACTAAATTGTTATAAAGGCTTTAATTTTACATAGATTTAATTTACACTATATTGTGTTCTTAGGGTGATCAAGGTCAAAAAAGTTGTGGCATAATGTGATAATTCAATGACAATAAAGTTGAGTATAAAAAATGATCAGAAGCTGAAATCAAAAGGTAGAACAACAATCAACAAACTTTGTTCCATATTTATGGCAATATACAAGACAACTGCAAGTGGAATGATGTCAGAAATTTAGTGTCGGTACATTGCCTACCATATCATATTGTTTACATCATCTTGTTGGGTTTATCAGCACTACATGCCACATATTTTGTCACACTATATGATGAGTCGCATGCCCATGATAGTGTGATAAAGCAATATGTGACTCTACCATATCAGTGATCAACCAGTATGATCATATGCGTATTCAACCTCTAAATGAAGGAGAAATATAAGTCAACACTTAGACTACAGGAGACAAACTTTGCTCCTACATGAAAACAAAAATAAAAATAAATTGCTAGGATTATTTTTTTCTTAGTATTAAAGAGAAGCCTAAATCTTTTTCAGCAGAAAACACATCCTCAGAAAATGCAAATTCATTATAGGAAATAATTCTTAGAAGGACCTCAGAACTGAATCAGGACTTCAAAGAAAGTGTTCTACAGAACAACGAAAATTCTACAGAACAAATGAAGAACTCTTCAAAGTTCTGATTCAGTTCTGGGCCTCAAGCTGCATCAGCAAAGACGTGATGAAATTTAATTCATTTTGCAATTACTTTTCTTAATGTCCCTCTTCTCCTTGGTATATCCATTATTAATCCTCATCTGTTTCGTAATCTACCAAATGAATTAAGGAATTCCACATGGCACCTGATCATGGCTATTTTATACTAGTCATCCTACAAGCTCATGTACACCATTGGGTTGTCTCATGTTGACACTTGGTTTAAACCCTATCACTTCCACTATCCCATACTAATAGTCTCTAGCCCAATGTTTTATGGTCTCCTCATGCACGTATTGATGCTATAATGACACACAAATTCAGACGACAAGCTGAGGGTCATTGTCAACTTTGTCCCTATAACACTTGTACTTATCTTACATGGTCAGCTTAACTGCCTTCAAATCCGTGTAGATCTAGGTTAGATGCACATGGATCTAAGCTAGATTGACACGGATCTAGGTAGGATCGGTATGAATCTAGGTCAAATCCATGAATATCTAGGCTATATCCATAAGGATCTAGTCCGGACCTGCAAGGACCTAGGCTAGATCTGCACATAACATATATCCACCTCATCCCCAACATTGTTCTAAACTTCGCTTTGGCACCAACACCACCACCTCTAGTTTTTCTTTTACCTCCATTATCATGGTTCCAACATCTTGCTAATACCCTCCGACCTCCACCATCAAGTCTACTACAGTAATTAACAGCTTACCCATGAAAGGATAAGGATAAGATGTGGGGTAAGGACATAGGAGAGAAGCAAAACTGCCAATAAGACGCATTAGAGACAAAATGCTCAAAATATTCTTCTCCTATTTGCTTGAACTAAATGACAGATAACTACACTCAACAGGACATCATTTAGGATGTCACTAAAGAATTGGACCAAGAGGAACTACTAAAACAGAAAAGCCTAAGTGGTGTTCTAAGTGAGAACAACCAAATTAAATAAAGCATACCCGTTCTTTCTGAATTGCTCAACAATTTTAGTGACCGAGTCAATAGGCACAGCAAAACTCAATCCATCAGCTGCGGCAACTTTCATGATGTTAACACCTACAACCTCGCCATCAAGGTTCACAAGGGGTCCCCCAGAATTTCCCTACAGGATAAAACAATTGATGAATATATAATATTAATCAATCATGGTAGAAAATGCTGGACTACAAAAGTTAAGACAATCAAATATCTTAAGATTCCTTCAGCCTTGCAAGTTTCAAAGACTCGCCGATCAAATAATTGGGAAGTGAGCTACAATTTGTTCTTCTTTGCAAAACCATAATCATGAAACCTTACAAATGAAACAGCAGAGAAATAGTAGTACATATAGCAATTTTCTCCTTTATAAACACATTTAATTTCCTTCAATTAAATTCTTTGAGAACCTGCACAAACAAAGCCAAAAAAGGATAGAAGTGCATAATGATGAGTTTCAGAGATCATATATTATGTTCTTTAACCTTTTTTGGCAGTTTTCACACTAATGAATTAAAAGTCACGCAACCACTTCACTGAGGCAAACAGAACCAAAATATTCCAGCCAACTCAAACAAATATCAGCAAGTAGGTCAATTGTTGTAAAGTACAAGCTCCCAGCTCAATAATAGTCGAGAAGGGTTGTAATAACAAATAATGAGGAACACTGGCATCATCCAACAAAAGAATATAGGAAGGTCCTGGAACAAATGATAGATGCACAAAGTTTATTAAATAGAAAGGAAAAAATAACAAGTATTCTTACCTCATTAATTGCACAATCTGTTTGCAGATACTCCCTTCTAACTCCACCAAGACCAAGGTCACTGCTTTTCCGATCAACACAACTACATATAGAAAGGAGAGTTTAATCAAAAAGACTATTTTCCTTGACAGCATAAACCCATAGTACTAAATTCAAGATGAAAGGCACAAGCTTCTGATATAATATAGAACAACACTTTAATCAAACACAATAATTTGTAGTGAAATTACAACAATCTAATACATGCTCATGAAATTCCTGGAATAACTGACAGCAAATGAGGAGAATTTTTATGATAAAGTAGAAATTAAACAAGAAGCACAACATCTATGTTAAAATACCTTACAATGCCAGATGTGATGGTATTTTGCAGAGAAAGTGGGCAGCCCAAGGCAATAACCCAGTCACCTGGACGAAGCTTAGATGATGATCCAAGTTTTGCTGCTGGAAGTGGAGTTTTAGATTGTATCTTCACTACAGCAATGTCTGAAAGGAAATCAGCATTAACCACAATGCCCTCAAATTCACGGCCATCTTGTAAAGTCACACCAACCTATTTTAATTTAAGAAAATAATAAGTAGAAATTGGAGACAAAAAGCTAAATTTTAGGCTTTTACCTCAATGATAAAGCTAATTCAATTTACTAGCACTAGCGAAGAACTTAATTCAATCATACATATATAAGCATGTGTTTCCCTACCTAAGTTAAGATTCTTATGACTGAAAAAAGAATAAGACATGGCTGACCTTTCTAGTTCTTTCCCATAACATTTTAGGGAGAAAACATGTACGGAGAAGATGAGACTCAATAGGTCCATTGGCCCAAGAACTTGAATGGAATGAGCCTTTGACAACATGGCCATAATGCTCAAGCCCATACCTGCAGTAATAATTATAACAACAAGTATATACTAATCAACTAACCATCCACTTCCAACCTGGGGCTAATTTGGGTTACAGAAACTTCCAGACCAAAGGCCCCGTGTCCTCATTGAGGCCCAACAAATATGACTTTCTAGCGTCAACGCTAGGGCATCAACCAAGCAAGCCTTCAACTTCTGAAAACTCCAATCGTCATGAACAAACTTTATATTCTGTGTTAGCTGGGTTGCAGGTAATATCTTGGAGAAACCTTCAAAGAGTTATAATGCCTAGCTAACCAAGAACACTTCTGACCTAAGTGACATTCCTCGAGCCTTGGAGACACTGTAGGCCTCTTCCAGATTACTACAATTCTATACCCTACCAAGGTCCATTAAGATTCCAGTACCAATCTTCACTCCTAAACTAAATGGCATAACCTTGATTGTTTCCAACTGTATCTACGAAGCATTTATACTTGCATGCAATAAAAAAGATCCCAAATATAATATCAAACTGTCAGTAATAATATAGTCTCACAATGTTCCATACTAAGTAATGGCTAATGGACTTAATCATGGAGTTAACTATAAAATCACACAGCTGCTATAGAGTCCCTAGCATCCTAGACCTGATTTAAGGAGAAAGTTCACAGAATACTGTCATATTGTGCACCAACCTTTCCTTTGGAAACCCTTCTCATGCTATGGAAGTCTGCCACACAATGTGCACACGTCAAAATCGTCCCATCAGGATCAATGATAGTCCCGGAACCGATACTCTTCCCGAACATTGGACCATACAGACCTTCAGAAATGTGTTGCCAGAAGTTGCCTGTTAGGTAAGAACAAAAAAGAAATCCCTCGATTGACAACCTGAAGCAGCAAAAAGAAGCATCCTCACCTTGGACGACAGAAATGTTCACCACAGCAGGACCAGCTGCCGCAGCCGCCTCAGCGATAGAGTTCCTTCCCAAACATCCCGGGCAGCACGGCGCATCATCCCGGTTCTTCCCGAGCGGTTCCCTATACGAATTCGAATCCGGCAGAGGGCTCGTGGAAGAATACCGTGTAAAAAAGCCTGCATTTAGAACCAAAGATCGGCCAATCAAGAATGCAACGAGTAAAGAAGAGAAAGGGGGAAGAAACAGAATCCGTTGCTTGATACTAAAACCTCCGGCAGGGCTAGAGAAGAGAGATGGAAGAGTGAAGTCTCGCAAGAACAGCTCCGAAGTCGATGACAGGAACTGCCGCAATGGAGCGGAGATCGAAACGGCTACATCTGTCGACGGGGAGAAAGGCGAAACTGAGAAGCCACAAGATCGTTGAAAAGAGCGAGAGAAGCAAGGGGGAGGAGAACAGTAAGTAGGGATACTGGTGGGATGGGAGTGACCATCCGAGGAGGAAGAGGAAGAGGCAAGGGCCGCGCCGCCGTAGAAGGCGGTGAGAGCGAGGAGGCCGGTGGCCGCGCTGCGGCGGGGTCTCGGCGTTAGCAGGCGTCGGAACATGTGTCACCGGCGTCGAGCTGAAGCGATCAATGAAGCCCTCGCTCGCTCGCTCCTCTTCTTCCTTCTTGCCGGCCAAGAAGGGATCCGCCTCCGACTCTTCTGCCAGCGAGCCGAAGTCCTAAAATAAAGATATTTCTAAATCCCTTTTTTTTGCGATTCTTAGCGTAATGTTTTGGTAAACACCACTTTAAAATAAATACCCGCAAAATCTCCAAACTTATATACATATCCACGGAATTAAACATATATATATATATATATGACATTTTTAAGCAACAAATAATATTATTCCTACATTTTTTACAGATTAAAAAAATCATGCCATTTAGTTACAATTTTTGCATAATATTTTTTACTTTTTTAAATTCGTAATACTAAATTATCATTCGATTTCCAATCTTTGATTTATGGTCGACTGATTCCATCATTTGAAACCATTTTTCACCAGCAAAACAAGAAAGAAGAAAGAGAAACAAGAAAGATTGTGACAGTACATGAAGATTGTTCCCCAGAAAAGAAGAAATGGGGACTGTCTTGCCAAGGAAAAAAGGGACATAATTGTGTCATCATATAACAAGGAGATATATACGTAGATAGATAAGAGCGAACAAGCTAATATAAACCACTTTTCACCAGGCTTACTGTTAAGAGACTGCAAGAATTTGTAAGCAGATTTGACAGTAAACTCGTAATGAGTATCAAAACTTCATAATCAAACATCCTCATTAGGATCCATAGGAAGATTAATCCTAGAAAATTTTTTTCCTAACTCATAATTCCATCCGCCATCACAAAGAAATCTTGTGACTTTTTCCAAGTATTGAAGTTGATATTGGGTTAATTTCTTCTTTCTTGTGACTCTGCTGCAAAGAAATGAACTATCACCATGTTCTAATTGCTGATGCAGACTCTACTCATTGTTACTGAGTCGATCCCTTATGGATTGCCTCTTAGTTTATTTATGTTAACTGGAATCTGGTATAAGAAGAGGATCTAAGACTGCTGTAGCTAGATTAATTGAAAGGCAAACTGTAACATTCAACTGAGAAATTATTTTTGTCATAAACATAAAACTTGTTATATTTGATTCAGCCATCCATGAACCAAGTGGAATTTCCTGACCTTGAGCTTAGAAGCTTGAAACTTGAGCCTTCAATCTGGCAGCAACATTCAAACTTGGGAGCTCTGAGCTTTTGTTTTCTTCTGAAACACCAGAAGAAACAAGTGTCAAGTGAACAAGAGCTTGCAGATTCTTAACACTGCATATGGTAGTCTTAAACAAGTGCTGGATTTAGAGAAGAAAGATCGTCACTGTGAAATAATGGACAAAATTGTTTGAAAGATGATCTTACCGAATTGAGAAAGATGACTAATCTGGTGCTCAACAAGTATCTACTTGTGCTTCTCAATACAATGTGAATGGATGTTACTCTCAGGACTACTTGAGTTGACACAATCTTCTTGATGAAGAAATAATTTAAAACTCCTCCATTGTTTTAAATAAAGTAGACCATGATTCCATGACCTTTAGAGACAATACCTGCTTCATAAACACAATTTTAGCAATCGCAGATAAGCATGAAAATGAATGAATATTTCCCTCAGCATTGCTGAACATGTGCCACTTAACCTATGTAGCTTTGACATGTTAAGACTTAAGATATGACTAGCCTTATACCATTTGATCATAAACACAAATTATTCTAGCAAAAAAACTAATGGATAATCTCTCACCAGTCAAATTCCTGAATTTGCTTCTCTCCTTTTCCTTTTTGTAATTATTTTCATTTATTTTAAGACTTTTGGTCGGTCGTAGTCTTTAAAATTTTAAATAATCCCAATGACCATCTCTGATATAAAACCCTATTGAATAATTCAGATGTTGGGCAGTATTATATATCTTTCTGACAGTATTTTTTCTTACATACAATGGATTTTGGTTACTTAAGAAAGAAAGGATAGCTACTGGGTCAAGCAACAATCAATGATAGCATGCTTACAGCAAAAGAAGCTTCTTTAGACTAAATCATTTTCAATGTGTTCTGCTGTGTCAACTTGGGTTCTTATCCAACTCTAGAAGATTTCTGTTGTATCAACTTGGATTCTTATCCAAACTCTTCCTTTCCTTTATGATTTAGAATAATAGAATATGTTCACTAATTTAGCATTGTTTATGTTTTCTTTTCAAATTTTCTTGTTCATTAACCATCTATTATCTTTGATAGCTTCAATAATCTCTCAGTGTAAATCAAAAAGTTGACTTGGCATTCCCCTCATCCTCAAAAACAGATACCAACAGAATCATAAATAATCAAATAAAAAAAATCAGTTATATTATCAAGTTTAATAAAAGATTGTCAAATACATAAATAAACATCCCATATGGATTCAGCGGGCCTTGAGCAAGCGACGAAGGGAATAAGCCACCGTTTTAAGTATGAACTATCTTGGTACATACCTTGTTGTGATCAATTTTTGAGGGCAGGTCTTAGTATAATGGAAAGGTTGTTCTGGTTCACCCTACTAGAGATTTCAGTGAATGAGTATGCAAATAAATAGAAACAAAAATTCTTAGCAATATAGAAGAAGTAAAAAAGGAAAAAAGAATCATATGGAAAGTTGCTTCTGTGCCCTTCACTTTAGTCATTTTCTTCTCCTATCCAGCATGACTTATCCACAAAATTATTGTTATATATATATATATATATATATATTTATATTTATATATATAGTCTGTGTGTGTGTGCATTGTTCACGCTCAAGTATCTTTATTGTGCAATTTAGAGGGCTCAATTCTCTTTCATCAACATAGACATTGTCAAGCAATTTTTTTTAAGAAAAAAAGGACATGGCTTTTGTCCTTAAGTTCATAAATTTAGGGGCATGGATTGAGACAACATTGTTTTAGTAACTTGAGATCATCAGCTCTCAGATCATCTATCTTTATTTGCAATTTATTATTCATTTCTCCATTAATCAATTGGTTAGTATATTTATCTTACAGAGAAGGCAGCAGCCTACAAAAGTATAACTTGGAATGATCAAGTCTCTGTCAACTGCCTGATGATGAATGAACATATTGAGAGCAAGCTAATATAAACCAATTTGCAAATAAGTGAATCATGGACCTAATAAAATAGTATCATTTCTAAGCCTTCTGCTTTCCTGTGTTTCCAAACTTGTTATATGTAGGATCTTATCTCTTTGATTGAGACCCCTTTCCTCAACTTGTTTTATTAGTGCTGGCCCATAGCATGAGCTTTCCTTTTCTGATTTTCTATCTAATATGGCAGTGATAGATCACAAACACAAATTATGGATACCCCTGTAAATCTATCATCAACCATCAGCAAGTTTGTTCTGCATAATTCTATGCCACAAAAGGGCTATGATCTCTCTAACTTGCATGCAAATATAAACATGGAACCTACTTGTACTTTGGTCATCATTCTGCCAAATCATGGTCCTAAGTTTCAATTCCTTTTCTTTTACTTTTAGATCTATCCAGTTGATTGTCCATTTCAGTAGTACACAAATGGTCTCTCTGAAATTTTCTAAAGCAACAACCAAATACAAGATTACCATCCATTAAAAAAAGAAGAGCAAAGTGCAATATATCACACAGAAAAGATCATTTTGTGGTTATATGATGCTTTTCAAGAAACATAGAAATCTAGGTCTGTTTGCACATAGAAATCTAGGACAATTAACTGTAACAGATCAGATAGAAATAAATAAAGCAAGTCCTAAGTTTAATTCACATTTGAGACTGCTCAAGGCTCATGGAATCCCAATCCATGTTCAGAGAATGATTATTGCAACCATCAACCAGTTCATTTTCTTGAATTGGTTCCAACATCTCCTTTGGCCAGATTTAGTTAGAACAACATATTATGTTATTTAAAAGATATTTTTAGTTTTTTACAAAAAAAATATCAATTTTTTCCCAAAAAGATATGCTAGTATCCTGAGGAAAAGAAAAAGAATGGTTTTAGTCTAGAGAAGATGTCCTTATTGCCCCTGAGTTCTGAGTTATAGAAAGCTGAGTGATGAAGTCAGACCTTTACCAGAGGATTTCTTTCCCATAAGTTGTTTTGCTATGGCTTTGGTAAGGCCGAACTCTTCTTAGAGCTGGAGAGTTTATTTCAAGCTCTTGAACTCCACCCTCCACCTATAGCACGAGCATGTCATCCCGTAACTACGCAGTCTCACACTTTGTTCCATCTAAGTTGCTGATGAACTTTCCGTACTTCCCAAAAGAAAGCAAATAAGTTCAGCAAAGCAACACCATTTTTCATAATTAAGGCCATGTCATCCTTCAATCCTTCTAGAACAGAAATGCAAGTGAATGCATGTGGTATGCTCAGATTCCTTGTCCACTTTCCCAAGAAAATCTTCTGCAAATTGATGTCAGGCAGGAGCCTCTCTTGAGGTCCTCTTCCTCTCATGCACTTACTACCATCCAGAGGAAGATGGAGCACTGGACACAGTTATCTCAAGCTGGGGAAGAGAAGAGAAAGGAAGTCTTATTCAAGAAAAGTTAATAGTGTTGTATCAACGCAAGGATAGTATCCACCTATCATGAATGACCCCACTACTTGGATGACCTGATCCTCAGCACGACTACCAAAAGCTTCTAGAAGATTAGGAACAAGCACATCTAAACTAACAGATACTCCGCCAACTTGTGGACAATAAATTACTTATGCTGAAATTTTAACATTTGATAATTGGTTTGCTAAAGACATGGCCAAAAGCTTATAATTGTCCTTTGATTTAGGTTCTTTTACATTGTGAATTGTCACAAGATACTGTTCCAGGGGGTCTCTTCATTGGTATCTACTGATTTAAGAATACTGAGTTATATCTTCCTTCTACCATCCTTGTTGAACACTTCTACAGAGGACAATTATGTAATAGAAATTCTGCTCTCTCTCCGACATTGGTCTCTTAAATTCATACACTTCAGTAGGTCATATCTGCATTTTTCTGCTTTGCACTACACATGCACATACATAGAGCACATGGAATAATATAATAACAGAAAACAGAGAATATTATCTTAGGATAATTCAGCAAGGAGGAAAATGGAAATTAAGATAGTGTTATATATTAGCTGTCTACAAATATATTCTATGTCCTTTCTCTTAGAATCATATGCTATGGTAGCTTTTGTCTTATGCATCTAGATAGCGTTCTTCATGAATTAAAATTCCCTAAGTAGATCTAGTGATGTGGAACCAATCTTATCTATCTCTTATTCAAATAAATTTGATTAATTTAGCAGTTATTTTGCATATCATAAGTTGCCACATGACAACATACCGAATAATTCTGATCTTGTTTCCTAGTTTATTCAAGCAAGAAAAAAATATGGAAAGAATTTAAGAAAAATCAAATTATGATTATAATTGAAATTTTCAAATCCTGATGGAAATTTTGTAAATTAGATCTGATGGAAGCATATCAATCAAGAATATTATCTTTTTCAAAGGGAAGATCAAATCATATATTTGATTTGATTCAATTGTAAATTCTTTATTTTTATAATTTTTTTTTTATTTTCATGTACTTAGCCTATAAAAAGGGACAAGAACATTATACTGCAAATCAATCAGAAACGAATCAATGAAATAAGTTATTTTCCTACCTCGAGTGTGACTGATGCGAGGCCACATTTGTTTTCTGATGGCATGATTCCATCATCTATGTGCGAGTCGTGTGGAGGTGCAAGACCTTCATCCTAGGAGTGTTCTCATTGAGTCAAAGCGAGTCTGGAAGTTATGCTTTTGTTTTCCTATTATCTTTTAGTTACCATCTTCTATTCCTTTCTTTTATGTTCCTCTATTATCAAAAAAATATTATATTGCTCTCTTCCTACATCATCTAGTTTTTCTGAGGGTAACCTACACGGATTTGAGTCCACCAAGTGTGAGCACTTCCATGTTATTAGTTCCCATCAAGAGATACATCCAAGTCAGCAAGTTAAAAAATATTGTCAGATAGGTTTCCTGGTTCTTGATTTTTGTTCTGTAGAAGTCCTTCAGCCCAGACCAATGCAATCATTTACATACACAAGAAATTCTAAAAGTCATAAGCATCAGAAAATAAATCTACCAATATGATGTTTGAGAACAACTTTCAAGAAACAGGTTAAAAGAATTCAAGCTATTGGCATGACCATGGATATATTTGCAAAACTGCTTGACTACTACATACATGTCAGACTTTGCACAATCATACAAGGCTAGGGATTGGATAAGACTTTCATCCTTATCCTTCTAGAGAAAGGAAGTGCTCAAATTGTGGTCCACGGTATCAAATAATTCCTGAAGATATTTGTTATATTCATGACTTTGGATCACATCTCACTATCTTTTGCTGTCTGCCATAGTCCTTGATTGGAAGACTCAAGCAAGAACAAAGAATAAAAGAAAGCATAGGAAGATAAGCACCTAGCTGAAGCCAGGTGAAAGTATTTTTATCAGCTTAAATTAAAGCACCTTCTTCCTGCACAGAATTGTTCAACTGTGATTTTGGACTGACTTGAGCTTCTACTGTGTTTTTCAACTCAAAACCTTCTGACTATAGTTTTCATGAGGTGTAATGCAGTAATGTTTTTGAACTGCTCCATCTCTAGTCACAGCCTCTCCCGTCACAAGAAGCAATGCTCTCAGATGCATCTTTTTTTCCACCTAAAATCGACACCCTCCAGGCATAAATGGCATCACTTAGCCAAATTCCATGAGCTCCAAAACAAACAGTCAACATAGAAGATAAAATACTAAATAGCATCCAACCAACTGATGAAATGACAAGTATCTCCCAAACCCATATTTTATAGCTTGAAAACAGCACAAATTGCATCATCTAGCCAACCCCCCCACCACTTCACCCCAAGACAAACAGTTCTGCATGACATAGAAGACAAATGCCTCACTCAATGGCCTCCATAACCATCATCAAGCTGCTTAAGGATCCCCTAAACTCCAATTCTATGGCTAGAAAACTGAAGGAAGCAACTTCCACATCAGGCAACCAGGAAAGCAAGCTTTCAATATTTCTTTTGCAGTTCCTTCCAAGTCAAAATCTCCACCGCTCACTTTTCTTGTCTATGTTCCTCCAATCAGATGTGGCTTGTTCTTTCCAATCCCCAAAGACCTATCATTAATTGTTTATTAGCCTATCCTATCCTATCATTAATTGTCTCTCACCTCACTTGGCACCACAGTCATCAGTGATACAAAATTAACTATCAGAATGCTGTATAGTATGGAAATTCTGCAACCAATATCTTCACAGTAACGCTATGCCAATCCATTTCTCATGGATTAGCTCTATTAGGCAAAGGACACCCCACTTGATAAAGCCCTGCCTCCTCTTCTTAAAACCCTCAACCCAGCCTTCCCCACGCCACAATTTTTCCATCCATACTGAAGTGGTGTTCAAGAAAGCTTCATAAATGAGTAGAGGCACACAGCATAGAGATATATAGATTAAGAGAAATAGGATGGGAGGAAGAGAGAAGAGAGAAAGAGGGACGGAGAGGGAGGAGTTTTACAAGGCTTTGTTACCGGGTTTGCCGGATGACATAGCTTTGGACTGCCTCGCCCGAGTCCCGCTCCGATTCCACCCGGGTCTCCGACTCGTCTGTTGCCGCTGGCGCGATCTGGTCACCGGCCCCTCCTTCCACCGACACAGGGAAAGAATCGGGACCGCGGAGGACCTGATCTTCCTCGTTCAGGCCGTCGTCCCCGTCGAGAAGTGTAGCGATTCTGAGGAGGAGAAAGAAGGTGGCGCCGTTTGCCAGCCGCCGGTGTATGGGCTAAGCGCCTACAATGCGACGCTGGGGTCGTGGCACCGGGTGGCGATGCCTGCGCCGGTGCCGCTCTTCGCCCAGGTCGCGGCGGTGGGGAGGGAGGTCGTCTTGCTGGGGGGCTGGGACCCGGCGAGCATGGAGCCGACGACGGAGGTGCGGGTGCTGGACCCGGCGACGGGGGGATGGCGGCGAGGGGCAGCGATGGTTGCGGCGAGGAGCTTCTTCGCGTGCGCGGCGCTGGCGGGTCGGGTGTACGTGGCGGGGGGCCATGATGGGCAGAAGAACGCGCTGCGATCGGGGGAGTCGTACGATCCCGCGGCGGACGCGTGGGCGG